GCACCACCCACGCCGGATGCCTCCCACCCTTCCCTTGACCAAGGCTCTTGGCGCGAGATGTGAGGTGGTGCTTGCATGGCTTCCCCCGGTTGGCTTGCTCCATCTTCCCTAATTGAGAAATTAGGGTTAGGGTTAGGGTTCGGCATCGGCGATTTCCCTTTTTCCTTAGGATTTGATTGAACAACTTGGGCTTCTACCAATTTACGGATCATCTCTTCCATTCCCCCAAATCTCTCCTCTAAGGTTGAGAATTTTCCCTCCAACGACGAAAGTTTCTCTCCCACTTCCTCCTTCCATTGGCTCATCTCCCCCTCCAAAACTTCTATCTTCTTTGATGCCATGCCGTCTAGGATCGAGAGCTCTGATACCAACTTGATACGCCCTAGGGTTCCCAAGTTTGGGTTTTCCCTAATGCTCCTTCAAAGAAAAGATTTCTCCTCCAAATCAAGGAAAAAATCAACACAAGAGGGATGAGATGAAGAACCAAAACCTTTGCATTCAAAATCCAAGGGAAAACAAGATACAATTTGTCCACTTCGAGAAGGACAAGATATCCCACTCCAAACCCTAGAAACACAACCTGAGCCAAACCGGTCCAGAAATGGACCGGTTCCGCTCAAGCCGATCGGCCCCGTCCCGCTCCGCGTCCCCCTCCCGCGTCCCTGCTTCGGCGGATCGAACGGCGCGGCGCCCGTTCCGGCTGCTTCCGCGCGCCGCGGGGTAGCCGGCCCTCCCTCTGCCGGTCGGCGTCGGCGGTGGCCCGCATCAGAATCCTTTTACTCCCTCATGGAGTAGGCAGAGAACCTTGAATCTTTTTTTACCCACCTGGTGAGGGCAGAGAACTTGGATTTCATGCTGATGAAGATCTCTCCAGAGCCGGCTGCTTCCGCGCGCCGCGGGGTAGCCGGCCCTCCCTCTGCCGGTCGGCGTCGGCGGTGGCCCGCATCAGAATCCTTTTACTCCCTCATGGAGTAGGCAGAGAACCTTGAATCTTTTTTTACCCACCTGGTGAGGGCAGAGAACTTGGATTTCATGCTGATGAAGATCTCTCCAGAGCCACCAAGGAACCAGAGAAGCAACTTGAAGAAGGTGATGAACATCTTGCTTGGAGCAACCTTTGTGAATCTCACAACTCCCCCTCACAAGAATCGCTATCTCCCAAGCTCTCCCTCTTCCTTCTCTAAGCTCTCTCTCACAACAAAAGATTTGTCTCAAGAGATAATGAGAGAGCTTAAATAGAGAGCCTCAAAAGAAGCCCTAAGTTTCAATTTGCCCGACAATGATCATCCTGTACGATCGATTTTTACGGCTTACATCATTTACAAATTGCACTGAGAAGTGCATCTTATAGCATAATTTAAAACAAGAATAGTAGGTTACGCTGATGCAATTTGGAAGGAGGTGAGGATAACAGATCGGTCTTCAGGTTTATGCACAAATTTATGAGAGAATCTAATCACCTAGAACATTAAAAAAACAAATTGTGTTGCTAGAAGTAGTGTTGAAGCATAATTTTGTATCGTAGCTCGAGTATTGAAGTTATCTTGCTGAAAAGGTTAACAGATGGTCTACAAATATAGAATACATATCCTACAGCTCTCCATAGTGACAATAAATTTACAATTAGTATTTTGAACAATATTGTTTAGCATGTGAGAATTGATCGCTCATCATTCGTGAAAATAGAGATTGAAGAAGGCAATATAAACTTAGCGTTATATTCCTAGTATTTTACCGCAAGTTGATGTCCTCTCAAAAAGCTTAACAGAAGAGTTCTCAAAAATATGTTGAGCAAGTTAGGAATGGCGGATTTTCTTTTATTGTTTTAATTGTTGATTCTTCCAGCTAACCGGTTTTGAGAATTAGCAGATGTTATAGAATATTGTCATAAATCTTTGTGCAAATTTTCGAAAGATCTGTTTGATATGATTGCAGTTGCATGCAAATTTAATTATGAATTGTGGGAAAGTTGTGAAAAAATGTTTGAAAAGTATATATATTTTTTCTTACAGGCAAGCTCTCCAGTAAAATTATGACACAGTTGAAATGCCTTCAGCGTCATCATTCCCTTTGTATGAGAGCATTCTTTTAGAATATTACATGTACATAGCTTCTACTTTTCTACTTTGTGCTTGCTTCAGTTCGCTCTGTTATTTTTTTTTTTTTAAATTTGTTGGGGGTTTCTGGGATTTGTTGTGTTTCGACCTCATTGCATCAGTTATATTTAAGTAATAAAAAAAAAAATAGATGTGTATATTTGTGGCTATAAAAATTCTTGAAAAGTAAGTGAAGGAAAAAAGCTTCTTTTTCTTTATTTTTCCTTTAATGCTTTTGAAAGATAAAAGGCATATTGTAATCTGGTTCTCGTCATTGTCTCCTTAGTTTTCTTTTATTTTTATTCTATTTATAATGGCACGTGATCTTTGAATGACATGTGGCACTTATCTGAAGCATTTGAGTATAATTTAGAAACTATGTTAGAGCTTAGTATTTACTTTAGTGAGTTTTGAAATCTTGTTTTGGCAAATAATCTCCATCAAACTTTCCACCTGGATGAAAATACTTGAAGCTGTCTAGCCATGTACTTTTTGTCAGCTGGGTCTATGGCCTTGCTTTTGTCGGATAAAGTATATTTTGGTCCTCTTTTTCTGGTTTATTTATGTAGAAAGAGAGAGTAAAAGCCTAAGTTATGAGATATATTGAGGGCCACGCGTCAAAAAAGAAAGGTTTGAAACAGAAATATATTGGCTTTAGACAAAAGAGACTCCACACAAGGAGGACACTGGACCTAATAAAAATTCATGCAAAACAGTGTTTTCATATTCTCAATTTATTATGTGCAAACGTTGAATGCGGTTCGGAGATCAATCAGAATTTGTCATGTCACCCCTGCTCGGTATCATACTTCATACTGCTGATGTGACTACACATGATTCGTCTCTAGACGTAGAGTTGTATCCGAGCTTAGAGTTGAGTTTGGCATCCGCACAGAATAATCTCTCCCCATGACAAGACAACGGACAACGATAATTTATTTGGGGATTGGGGATCTTTTGTGACCACTTGCAGAATCCCAAGTGCTTCGAAACAAATAACACAGTTGCCTTCTTTACTTTTTGCCAAACTGCACAGCCCATTCCTATAATCAAACAATCCATTCTATATATACATATTCCATTAATATATAAATAATATGAGAAAAAACAACAATAAACAATCTATTATACATCTATTTGGATTAAAGTCATAAATAATCTCAAATGGTGTTTTTTTTTTTCTTTTAAAATTAATGCTTTTGTAGGCGTTTTTAGTAGATTTATTTTAAGAAACTATAATTTATAGATACCTGTTTAATCAAATACCTTCACCTAATTTTCTTTCCTCTCTACACTGCTTTTGCTTTAAGACGCTCGGATTCCACCGATAATTAGATTTTTATGTAATATTGTCTGCCACAATAAATATCAAACTTTTTCGTGATTGATATGTCTGAACTTAATCATTATGGTATTTACATAATGAATTCTTAAGTTTTATCTATCCCGTTATATATAAATTTGGATAATATTTATCCTAAATATTTTTATGTAGATCATTTGATCTTCTTTTTGGAATATAATTCACACAATCTCACATATGCATGTCTGTAATATATATTTTCTAAAAAGATAAATATATTCGACAACTAATTAAAGACATATTCATTCATAATAAACCCTAAACATATAAACGATGAAGAGAAAATTATGAAACAGTCTGCATTTGAAACATGAATTACATTACAAAGAATTTGGTTGGGATGATTGTTTTTATAGTTTCTTAAATCAATTTTTTATTATAATTTTGTTTTAAATTTTTCTATTAAAAAACAATTCAGTTTTAAGAAGCAGTAAAAAAATCATCTCAAATGAAATTTTATCTAAAATGAGATACAAGTGAGAACTCATAAGATTACTGCTAAATTTCCATAAAGTAAGCTTTCATTTAAAGAGAAGATTTCCTTCTCAAAGTCTAGCGAGAAGGACAAGGAAGAAAATCTTCTTCTTCTTCTTTAAATTTTTTTTTTTTATAGAAAATCTTCTTCCTTATTGACTATTATTGTTATACAGTCTTTCTCTCCAACCTATTTTTCCTCATGGTTTTGTTACATAGCTCTAACTTGAATTCAAATTCATTTAATTCTGAATTGACTTAATAAAATTATATTGAAAAATCATTTATTTCTTTTATATTTTTCATTTATTAAATATCTTTTAATATCTGTTTAATTAATATGCATAAAAATATAAATAAAATTTTAGTATTTTTATTTGATGACAACTCAGCTTTTTTGACATAATTCTGCCGAGTGTTTCTCAACTTGTTCATGCTCATTATGGACCAATCATTTCATGAATTAGTCCAAAAATCTACATAATCACCGGCAGCAATCAATTCCTTAGCCCCACACTGAATGGAGCTAATCTCGTTAATCAATAAATATCATCACATTATTTATCATTAGTAATTAAAAAATATTAATAAAATTTAAAGATATTAATCAATCTCAAACAAATATAAAACAATTCTCAAAATTATTTAGATGCTACTTTTCTTTATATCAGTTGTTCAAAATTGATCAAATAAATAAAATCATAAGCACACTATGAAATTTATGATATCTTTAAACCTAATTGATAGCACTATATATTTTATTATGAAAATAATCATAGAATTTAATGTAAAATTTTATAATCATGAAGAAAAAAAAACTAATATAAAAATATGATAAAAAATTCAAATATATTATTGATAAATTAAGATATTCATATGATATTAATTAAACTATTATTTAAAAATATTATAACTATTAATATATTTTCCCTAATTATTCAAAATCTACCAACCCTAATTTTAATTATATAATTTTGTAAATAATATGATGAAAAAATAAATCATTTAAAACATGCCCAATTAATATAGATTCAGTTTCCAATGAAAAATTGACAGATGGCAATTTCTTAGAAGTTCTCTTCCAACACGTCTCTTAGCAATGTATTAGCGAGGATCATCGACCAAGTAAAAATGGGCGGCTCTGATGGGGCCCTCCGCATCCGGGCTAGTCCTTCTCAGACCCCTATCGCGGACCCCACCAAAACTAGACTTGCTATGTAGTGAAGGAATCTAAGCCCACTTGAGCCTCCTAGTGATTCTGTGGTTGGTTGTTAGTTTAGACTCTTTTATCATAAGGTCATATATTAATATATAAATTTATAATTAAATTTATTCAAAATTCTAGAACAAAATACAATAATCTAAGGTTGTTGTTGAGCTTAGCTAGTTTCATTATTGTACAATATAAATTTATTCAAATTTCTAGAACAAAATAAAAGAATTTAGGTTTGTTGTTGAGTGGAGTAAGTTTCATTGCTATGTGATTCAATTTGTTAAATAATTTATGAATCGTATCAAATTTATTGATAATAACCGGTGGTAAAAAGCAACCAAATTAAGGCTTGATTTAGTGACAACTTTATTACTGCTTCTTAAAGTATCTTTTTAGTACAAAAATTATTATCTTTTTTGTACTAGAAATATGCTTTAAGAAATAATTAGAAAGTCATCCCAAACAAAGCCTAAAAGAGAAAGAAATACGTTTTTGGTTCAAAGCTTTAAGTTTTTATTAGAATAGGCTCAAGTTTGGGTAAGTGGTTGAGTTGAATTCAAATTTGTATGTGGATGAGACCAAGTTAGCAGGTAAACCTAATGAGCTAGAACCTGTGAGTTAGAATGAAGGGACCACCAAAGGTTAGCATCGTATCTACTATTAGAGAAAATTTAAAGGTTTAGAGAAAAAAAAAAGTTTTTCCAACTATTTTTCATCACCTCTTATTTATAGAATCCTCAAGAGTCAATAAAGACTATACAAAGAAAAGATAAGAAATACAAAATATATAAAATACTTGTACAACGTCGCTCCTCGCTAATTTAACACATGTTGACACTTGATAGAATGGAGGGAAAGAAGTCAATGAATGAACTCACTATAGGTAATTTTGATGGTGGCAAACTCTCTCTGTGGGCGAACTCGTTGGGTACAAGTAAGCTCCATGTGAATCTATGAATGAGACAAGGTGAATTATTGGGCATGATTGATGTTCAATGTTGGCAATCTTTGAATGCCTTAAGGAGGAATCTAACTAAGATTTTGTGGAAATGATGAGCTTCATGCCGGAGGATTATAGCTTGTATTTGGTGCAAGTTCCATAAATAATTTTATGTAGCTAAGTTGGGTGTACTGAAATGGTCTAGGAGAGAGCTAATGACGGAGGTAACAGCGAGTGATGGTTTGATTGGGGATTCCAATTCGCTCCATGCTGGTCAATCTACTTGGTAGGCCCGAATGAGTTGAGCCTATCGACTACCTTGAGTGGGTTCTTCCACTTGTTCCAGGGGAACTCCTAAAAAAACTCTTACATGGGGTGAGTGCCCTTGTCATGACTTGGTAGTTACTCCTGAAACACTTGAGAAAGCATTTTATGAGTATACATGATGAATACTATATACTTGGTCATATATATTATAAAGATCCGAAATTCTTGCATGCTTAAAGACCCATTAATAACATGCAAATGATCCTTACAAAAATCCCTACATACCTGAAAAATCTTTGTAGGAGCATCACAACAATGTGCTTGCAAGCAAAGCGACTCTAGCCTATCTAAAATTTAAGTTCTAGCTATGCGGGAGTAGTAGTATTGGAGTTGGGCATCTTGGTGTTAGTCTCTTTTGTTTGGGTAATCAAAGAGAGCGATGTAGTGCTGGGAAGAGGGGCGCCACAGTATTGGACCAAAAATGAGATTTTTTCTATATAAATAAATATTTATATTCATTTTGATTTATCATAATCACGCCATCTCGTCACTCAATTGTCCGGAGAGAGGAGAAAAGGGAGAGAGATAAGAGAGACAATTTGAGCTTCAGAGCATTTGGCATATTCTTCCAATTGTGAAAATTGTTCTAATTGTGATAGGTACCCCAAATCCTTTTTTTTTGTTTCCAATAATTTTTAGTTTTGCATTCTATCTTTTTTGAATCTGGTTAAAATGCATTATCTCGTAATTTAATAAACTTTTATTCTATAACTTTTGATATATATAATAGAATATGATTATTCTTCACATTTTGATATGATCATCAAACATGGTAGTTTTATAGGTACAATATTTTAACTAAACTAGCAAAAATAAAAACGAATATGAATACATTAGAAATTATCCATCTACCTCCATCAAGTCTAACCTGACATGGATATGATATAGCTCACCTGAAATA